GGTTTTTTTTTTAATTTTCTTCGGGCTAGCTAAATGGGTTCCCGGTCTTGTAACATAAATTCCCTTTGACAGTAGGAGGGTCCCTCCCATACCCCTCCCCTGTAAAAATATGAAGGTCTGAATATGGGATCTTCGATGTTAGCCAGACCCCAGGGCAATGTACCCGTATTAGGAAATACATATAATAGAATTATAAGGTTTTTTTTAAATTTTCTTCGGGCTAGCTAAATGGGTTCCCGGTCTTGTAACATAAATTCCTTTTAACAGTGGAAGGGTCCCTCCCATACCCCTCCCCTGTAAAAATTTGAAGATGTACAAATACTTATTATTGTATTCAACAGTTTTTTTTATCCAATTTTGACCAGGCTAGCTAAATAGTCATCATTTTGATCAGGCTAGCTGCATTGGTTTGGGGTCCTCAGTCCTCTTCTTTAAGTGAAGTCTTTGCTTTTCTTCTTAAACACGGATTATGATGCGTTTTTAAAGTTTTTTGAAAAAAAAATTATTAGGACATTTACGGTAATTTGAATAGCGAACGGCAGACAGCCTGCGGTTCGCCATTCGAATGGCGAATAGCGAATAGCGAATAACCGTCCAACTTCTGATTGCCCCGCTGAGTTGGACCTGATGTTGGACCGGTCGGTGAGATGAACCGCTTACATCACAGAATGGGCGAGCTTAATCTCATTTGAATTCATTGGTGTTCAACAGTGACGGACCTGATGTTACGTCACGGAAGACATGTACACTGTATATGTCAAAAATTAAAATAAAGTGAGAGATAATAACACTTTATCTCTGGCAAAATGCGTTTTGTCGACCCTCGAACCAAGCTGTCTGCCTTCGGCCTAACGGCCTCAGGCAGACAGTTTGGTTCTAGGACAAAACGCATGCTACCCTCGAACTCAGTCAATAAATATATTATATTTCTTCAAAAAGCCGAAAAAATGATCTACCCTCACCGAAGAAGGTAGAGGGGCCTTCAGCCCATTTCTTTTTCGTCGTCTTTCCAACCCAAATATGTGTATATACATTTTCTCATTAAATTTAAATTCATGTAAAAGTGGACCCAACCGCAACTCATTTGGAGGTTCAATTAATTGAAAATAGGTAGAATTATTTGAAAATATGTTAATTTGGCATAACATAAAGAAAATGCAATGAATTTTTTGTATAATATTTATTTTAAAACAGTTGGATATGTTGGTTGTGCTTATAAAGGATGGGGGACAGGGTATGCGGCCAGCTTAGCCCTACTTGTTATTAGTGCTTGGATACTACCAGCAGAGGACATACTTTTCACCCAGACAATCACCGTCGCCAAAAATTCCGTCCACCCTAATATCCTTCCAATATCACCTACCGTATCAACAGACAATCATCTGTTTGTTGTCAAGGTTATCTGTTTTCACATGAAGAGAAAACTTTTAAAAAATGAAAATATGAATGAATGAACAATCCTATTTCATTAGTGAACTAAAGTTACATCTACATGTAAATGCAAAGCATTTCATTTTCTGCTTTTTCTTAATTTTAATGTTATTTTTAAGAATGCTGCAAAAGATTGATCTCAACAGATTTGACACAGTTATAATAAATTTATCGTTGACTGAATTTTTAAGAAATTGTACCGTTATAATGCCCTGACTCCTCTCTATATAATCAGGTAAAAGCCGACGATGGAGCTAATGCAGGGTTTGTATTCCATGGCTCAGGAACATCATTGACTGACGGTTCACTGACAAACTACGGCGGAGTGATATATGCTTATGATGAATCAGAAGTACTTTTGTGGCGACCGAGTGATGACAATACTAATGGGTATATTCTGTATATGGGAGGAGACCTCGGGGGCGGGGCTTACCCACAAATGTCGACACAGGGCGATGTCACGGTCAGCATTATACGAACATTGACACCGTATGGTAAATCAATTAAATAATATTTCATATAGTCTAGTTCTGCATTTTCATTAGAAAGTCTTAATAAATCAGCTTTGTATATCAAGAGGGAAATTGTGGAGTTGGAACATGCGTCGGTAACTGGAGTCAGATAATTGTTGTATGTGATTGTGTTGGCACCGGACTAAGTGGACAGTACTGTACAAAAGGTAAAAGAAATAGTGATCATCTGGTTCAAGTCAATATTAAACATCTCAGAAATGCATGTATTATCCAAGTTTTGCACTATACATTTCGAAATTATAGGTATTCTTTTTCTTTATCAAAAGATAATAACTTGAAATACATGATACATATTAATTTACGTATCAGAAAATTTACTTAAAATACAAAAAATCACTTTGATGTTCACAATAAATTAATGGTACCCAGTGTTAATTCATGTGTATTACATTAAGCCACCTCCCCTCCTCCAAGTTCTCTGCTAGCAGGAGTAAAGGATGAAGAGGAGTCCAGACTCCTACATCTTGGATCAAAAAGAAATCTGACGATAAACTTGGAATTTCCCATCGAAACAAGTCCAGATATAGTTGTGGTTATAAAAGCCTCATCTTCTAAAGAAGTTATGGCACTAGCAAGCGCCAGTGTAACGGGAAAAGGCAACAATATACAACCCTTCTCAACAAGACTTTACTACAGCTTTTCGTCTTCCTCAATGATTGTAAGATTTACCGAATGGTAGAAAAACTAGAAATTATATTTAGGAAACCAATAAGTTTTTTAATAATACATGTAGTTGCATTATGTAATTCTCTTGCAGTACTTTATATTTTATTCATATGTATCTTATCACATTTTTTTTTTTTGGGGGGGGGGCGTTTTTTAGCCCAGTGTACAAAGAAAAACACTTTGTTTGAGAATGAACAAGGTACAATTTCAATACATGTGAAGCCCTGCATTTTTCTAAAATATGAAAGTTATACCGTGTATTAGAAATTAAAATATTTTCATATTTGTCATTAATTTGTTCATTTTCCAGGACTTCCCTAAACAGTTGCAGAAGACATCAATTTTCAGTAGAATTTTCTTTCAGAAAACATACTCTGCCTCCGCCGCCCACAAAAATATGTTTCTTTAAAGCAGTTTACCTAATATATTCAAAAGCTAAAGTGGGCGACGGTGGCGGAAACTATTTTCTAAAGGAAAATAAGCATAGAAATGAGTCAATCTGAGGCCTTTCTTCATTAAACTTGGAAATGTACCAAATTAATCAAAAATGTCCGTCTTCATGCCATATTCTATAGTGATTTATCATATTCATCTACTTAACTCTTGTTATAGCCAATTTCATAACTTTTTAAGAACATTAAATTTTTAGGGCACAATAAGCCCAAACCGTACCCCTTCTTTTTAGTTTTATTGTCTCTAAATATGCTATGTCAGCATGTACAGTTGACAGCATTTACGGTCATGGGTCTCCTTTAATAATATGTCTGATACCTATCTGTATTCTTGCAATAATATTTTTATTTTTTGTGGTTGCAGGTCCAGAAATTTTTTCAAGGGGGGGTCCACCCCAGTCAAAAAAAAAAATCCAATCCCAGAAATTTCTTGACAAGCAAAAAAAAAAAAAAAAAAAAAAAAAAAAAAAAAAAAAAAAAAAAAAAAAAAAAACCCTAAACTCGCCCAAACGTCAAAAACCTATTTCGTAGGGGGGGGGGGGGGGGGGGGGGGGGGGTAAGTGGTGACTTTTATTGCCTCAAATCTTTCAATTTTCATACCCATTTCACATATATTCGCGTTTACCAGGAGGGGGTCAGCGTTTTCCAGGGGGGGTCCATGGTAACTTTTTTCTTGTTTTAGTATATACATTTTTTAACCTGGTAAATTCCAGGGGGGGGTCCTGACCCCCCCCACCCCCCGCAAGATACGCGCATGGGTTGTAATATTTATTTTTTCTTTAATCTTGTTTCTTTTATGTAAAACAGATCTCCATACCTATATACGCGTTGCTCAAGTTGGTCGATTTCAAAATTGAAATTATGGTGGAAATAATATTCTCTAATACTGTTTATTGGCAGTTGGGGAATCTCTTACAATTGAAATTTGTTTTCAAGCATGAAATGAATTTTCAAGCATGAAAACGTGAAACTATAATTATGAAATGAAATATTGAGATAAAGAACAGTTTTCAAGCTCAAATGTCAGTTCACAAAAATAAATCAGAAGGGGTGAACACAGACCTTAAAGAAAAACAAAGGTGGGATCATGTGGCATGGAGGAGTAAGTATCCTCTGGCGATCGGTCACACCCATTTTGTGCTCCTTGTCATGCATTTGCAACAGAAAAAGGTTGATTTATCCATTTTGTGAAGGGAAACCATCTTTAAAATAAATTTTTGATCCCTATTCAAACCCAATAACTAAATCTGATGTTGGAATGATAAGTTAAAACATATTTACTTCCATACTTTACGAAAAAAAATCACTAAAAGGAGTAAAGCTAAACTTTCGTGCATCAAATTTTAATTGTGCACAAGAAAATCAAGCTCTGGGATCATAACTGTGGATTTTTAACCTTAAAATGTTAGCTTAAAAGGTAGCTAAACCAAAGCCTGCTTAACAATCTAGTAATTCACATTTCATTTTTTTTCAGTCTGGGTTTTATTTTATTTTCTCTGGCAACTTGTCCTTAGGAGATCTTGTAAATTCTGGATCTTCAAACATATACAGAGATAATATGGTTACTATAATTTCCGAAATCTTTGTACAATCCATTAATGACGTCACTAACGGAGAGCAACACAAAGTGAATGTCATGATTCTAGTGGATGGAGTCGGCGTCTGGGAAAAAGACATTAGTTATATCATCAGCACATACATTCTGGTTTGTTTTCTTATAAAACATCTAATATACTGTGTATGTTACACATAATTATCTAATTATCAGTTCCAGTAAATTAAAATTTAAAAACAATCTAAAACCAGAATTAACTGAAACCAAGATGCACTCGTGAGCAATTTAAAAGATTCACCATGGGTTGATAAAATCTACCTAGCTTTCTAACTATTGTGTTTATTTTTAGACTCCAATTAAGACACCAGAAATTTACCCCCGCTATCCATCCACCTCCTACCTTGAGCGCGGCACCATGACTCGGGTCACTGTGGACCTGTGGATGCCGTTGGCTAACCCTGACATTGTGGTGATATCCAGGAGTACCACGGGGGGAGAGGACACCAAACTCCGGGTCTTTCGCGTGGCTGTCACAAAAGTCGGAGAAAATTATCAACTTCCTGTAAGATATCACCTTATCTTGTGAGAATGGCTGGACATTAGGAAAATGTATTTATTTTATAGAGTTTAATATTTTTATGAAACTCCAACAATATTGATATAATTGACTGATCATAAATGTTTGTTTGTTGTTTGTATAAAATATCCTGCAATTTTTTTAAAAGCATCCTTTACCTTAATTTTTTAAATAAGGCAAACTTATTACAAAAAGATGTATGTTCTTTTTCATAATTCATATTATATATTTACAATGTCTACATTTTGCAAATTGTAAACGTACCGCATTGGGATTCAAACACAACAGTAATTCACATATACACTGTAGTATTACCCACTATAAAAATCATTTCCTTAATAACAAGGCTGGCTTGACCACACTTATGAAGTATTCTGATTTTATGTGGATTCACAGACTTCCTGTAATAAGGGCGGTACCAAAAGTATTATAAATTTCTAGTGAAGAGTTAGGACTTTTTGTAATTTTTATCTGAAGACAAGCAGAGCAAACATTAGTCATGTGAGCTTTGTGGTCCATGGGCCTTTTGTTGAAATACTTGTTTTCTTTCAGGTTATTCTAGAACGATATAATGTTGTTGGTACAGTATGTAATGACGTCACTGGAAACAAAACTCTCTACCTTACATTTCCCACACATTTTGCTAACAAAGGTTGGTATGGATTTTCAAAGTAAATGTCATTTTAGTATAGATGATACAAATAAAATTTCATCAAAATCTTGAAAATAAGGAAAATAGTCATCCTTATTTATTATACCCCCCGCTTGAAAAGTGGGAGGGTATATAGTAATCGGGATTTCCGTCCGTCCGTCCGTCTGTTACGCTTTATCTCTTATCCGCAACTCCTCTTACACTACTGAGTGAAATTTAATGCAAGTTTCACAGAATCTTTATTACATATTTTCAACTTTTTTTGCAAGCCGGCCGGCCACTGTCCGATTCAAAATTTGCCACCCAAAAATTGTCTTTTCTTTTAAGGGCAGATGAAACAAACAAATTTTTTCGTTGGAGGAGACTTTATATCATGTCTCAAGTTTAGAAATGTGGATAATTCTTAGAATTTTTTCTCCAAAAAACTGGAAAACGAAATAGACTTGGAAAATATTAGTAATATTTCAATAAAATTACAAATATGGATATAACACACTCAGTAAAGGTTTACAGATGAATATAAATTTTAGAATATGTTATATTGTGCTAAAAGTGTAATATAATCTTTAGAAAAGTATACCAAGCCAGGTTTATCAGGAAAAGCAAAATGGTAAAAATTATCCTATATGATATTGATGAATTTTTGTCATTTTGTTTTTCTTCCTAAAAATAACCTGGCTTGGTATATTTTTCTAAGGTTTATATTGCAATTTTAGCACCAAGATAACATATTCTGAGAGGATCACTTCATTATAAATAGGAATCTGACCTATAGGACCGGGCTTACTTTTTTTCTCTACAAAAAGCTGTAAATGATGCCATCAATGCTATATTCTACACGACACTTTGAGGGAAATAAAATTACATCTGTACAGGTACTCTTGGGAAAATGTTGAGAAAATGAAAGCTCAGTCACATAATTTTTTATAATGCATGTGACGTCGAAGATTTTCTGCTCCGTGACTTAATGATATGTCCTGAAAAATCAGTCAAAATTGATGCCAATTTACAACATTTTGATATGAAATTTTGAAGACCATATAAGTAAAGATTCTTTAATATTATGTGTGACATTTTGCCTGATTATGTCGTCAAATTTTTTTTTGGTGCAACAAGTCCGCGTAATTTTTGAACGGCCCTCGTAGTTACATGTGTATATATTTATTCAAAGTATATTGGTTATGGTATGCTTTTAGCAGATGAAGTTGAGATCTGAAAAATAAAAAAAAAAATCGGGAGAAACTGAAACGAGAAATAAAATGCTGAAAAAAGGGCTGAAAAACAAAAACTTAATCCTCAAGCCTGTGAAAAATTAAAGTATTGTGTAGTGTCCGTAACCCTTAAATTTGGTTAATTGACTTCGTTAATCAGTGTACCTACATTCTAAATAGTTTTCATAAAACTTTAATGATTTAGAGAACTTGTCTTCTGTACTTTAGTTATATAGTTATGTGAAAAAAGGAAGTTTCAGGATTTCCTATAGTGGATTTTTTTCTATCGGCATTAGTTCTGCAAGTAAATTGTTTACGTGAAACAATATCTAATTTGTATGTACTTTGTATTTAATAATCAATTAAATCTGATTTATAATAGTTCAGAAGTTTATAAAATGTTTGTTTTTTTACCACAAACCAAAAGCCAATCATAAATATTTGGGTTTTGATAATGCCACCTTTTATAGTCAAACTTTTGTCCATATTTTATATTTTTATATGTTGTTTGTTTGTGAGCAGTTGAAAAAAATAGAGCTTATAAAAAGTTTTCAATATTTATTTCAAAGAAAACAACACTTGTAGTGTCCGTAACCTGCGAAAATGAGGTCATTATCAGCTTGTAAAAAACAAAGTTCTAATGTGAATTTCATAAAACCGTTTAAGTTTCAGATCCTTTAGACACTCTACTCTTTAGAAAAAATATTTTTTGGGCAAAATAAAGACCCAAGTGCAACCTTACTGTTCCCTATATTGTGTTTCACCCGATAGTGTGTTATTCTTGTACTCGGAGAAAGTGTGCTTATACTGAGGTTCGTTCCGCCTGACTGACAACTGTACATTGAATTGTTGCGATTTGATATTTCTCTAGTGTTTCTTATATCAAAAATGGGCGTGCATAAAGGATAGATAATTGAAGGAAAAATACACAAATCTATATAAAAAAAAATTTTAATAGTCTTTGAAAAGGCGAAAATTAAAAGTTGAGCTAGTCTGACTATAAGTCTTAGAATGAATGTCATAAATTTAAAGCAGGTTATGAAAATCAGGTTTCCTTATTTTTTGTAGGTTTTTTGTGAATTTCTACCCCAGGGCAGGGGTGCCCCTTAAAAAAATCTTATCTTAAAATATTCCTTACATCCTAACCTATCAAAATATCACAATTTTATTTAGGGGCAGGCCTGTCCTGAAGGACTTCAAGGCCAAAATTCATGCAAAAATCAACGTTTTTAATGGTGTTTCGGTCAACTTTGGAGGTTTATTGTAAAGTTGTAAATAATAAATTTGAGGTATAAAATACAAATTTGAAAAATTTAGACATATATACAGTAGAAAACAACAAATAAAGATTGGTTTTTAAATGTCGTTTTTTCCGGGAAATTGTTCTCTCCTATAGGTCAATTCTTTTGTTAAAGTGAATACATCCTTTGTAATCATCTGTAAACCTTTACTTGTGTGATCTGTCTATTTTTGTTTTTTTATTGAAATATTACCAATATCTAACAAGTCTATTTCATTTTCCAGTTCTTAGGATAAAAAATTCTAAAAATTATCCACTTTTCTAAACTTGTGACATGTTATTAAGTCTCTTTCAAAGAAAAAAATTGTTTGTATTATCTGTCCTTAAATACAAATGCACGGCTTATTTTATATAAAAATTTCCTGAATTATCCAGCAATTTCAGAGTGTATTTTAGAAAATTGTCGAATGCAAAACATTTATTGTTTGCTTCTCGCTGCTCCTTAAAGCAATGTGATCTGCGTTTTTGACAAATTCATTTTGTTGTT